TGCACTGACATATGAAATTCATGTGCAATGCAGAAAGACAAGCTTGGGGTGGAGATTGGTCCCGTAAAAATATTTAAAGAGACGAGATATAATCCTAAAAAAGGATGGGTAAACCCCATGCCGAAACAACATATGTAAGTTTTAGTTTGTTAAGTATACATTACGGACTGTATTCGGTCCTCGTTCCGAATTCGTCTTAAGCATGGGGTTGGGCCCAGCACCAGGAGCGAAAAGAGGAAGCTCATCCAACGATCCAAGAGTCATGGAGGAACTAAATGTGACAAAAGATGAATTGAGGTAGACTAAAGAACGTTTGGACAATACCGGAAATCGCTTAAGCCGGACTGAAGAATGTTTAGCCAAAGATCTACGAGAGTTGAATAACCTCAAAAACTTATTCGAAAGTTTCATCAGTCAATCTTTAGGCAGCTCATTCCCCATGTCTGAATAGGCATAAAGCATTTACTTAGGTTTTTGAAGCTTTTGAAACATATTGAACGTGTAATTTCAAGAATCTTTGGAACACGTGAACTTGGATGATATTTTGGTTAGATATTTTGGTATTTGATATTTTGGTTTATGATATTTTGATATTTGATATTTTGGTATTTGATCTTCAAATGAGGTCTCTCAAGTATGTCGGGATTGAAATCAGCCTATTTTAAAAAAAAATTAAATAAATATTGCTAACGTTTTTGGTAAAAACGTCGGTAAAATTCTAAATATACCGACGTTTTCAAAATGTTTGCAAAATAGTAGATCTGTTAACGTCTTTCGAAACGTTTGCAGAATATTAGATTTGCCGACGTTTTTCAAAATGTTAGCAGAATAGTAGATCTGCCGACGCTATTCAAAACGTTGGGATAATAGTATATCTGCCAATGCTTTTGAAAACTTTGGCAAAATAGTAGATCTGCCAACATTTTGAAAAATGTCGGCAGATAGAAGTTTTTGTCAACATTTTGAAAAACGTCGACATATTAAAATTTTTGCCGAACATTTTGAAAAAAGTTGGCAGGTGTAAACTTTTGCCAACATTTTGAAAAACGTTGGCAGATGAAAACTTCTGCCAACGTTTTCAGAATTTTGACAACTATGCCAACGTTTCTGTAAAATGTTGGCAGAAGTTTCTATTTGCCAACGTTTCTTTAAAACGTTGGTAGATCTGCCGACGTTTAGGAAACATTGGTGGAAAGTTAGCTCTACCAACATATTTTGAACGTTGGCAAAAGTATTGTTTTGCCAATATTTTTTAAAAAAACGTCGGCAATGTGCTTTCCCAACGCACTTCTGACGACGTTTTTGCCTACGAAATTATTCCAAACGTAAAAAATATCGTCGAGAGAAGTCATTTTCTCTCGACGAAAATAAAATCATAGGGACAATTATAAGTTTTGCCGAAGTTACTACAGAAACGTTGGGAAAACCCCTATATTTGCCAACGTTTTCTACATAATGTTGGCAAATATTCTATTTCTTGTGACGTTTTATAAAAAACGTTGAGAATATGGGCGGATAAATTTAAACACACTAAAGTTACGTACTAAATATTTTGACGTTTTAATAAAAACGTGGGGGCAAAGATTCATTGTCCCAACATTTTTACAAAAACGTTGGGAGAAAATCACTCATTGTCCACGTTTTATTAAAGAAGTTGAGAGAAGTAATCTTATCCCAACATTTTTAAAAAGGTTGGGCTAACATAATATATCCCAACGTTTTATTAAAAGCGTTGCAATAAGTAATCTTATACCAATGTTTTTACAAAAACGCTAGGACCAGTGCCCATCGTTTTATTAAAAGCGCTGATATATATGTTATTTCCTCTGACGTTTTGCAATAGTGGGAATATGGATTAATAAATTCAAACATACTAAAATTATACGCTAAATATTCCGACATTTTAATAGAAGTGTGGAGCAAAGATCCCTTCTCCCTACATTTTTACAAAAACGTTGGGAGAAAATCACTTATCCATACGTTTTACTAAAAACATTGGGAAAAGTAATCTTATCCCAACGTTTAATAAAAGTGTGGGGCAAAGATCGTTTCTCCCCACGTTTTTGTAAAAACGTTGGCAGAAAATCACTTATCCCCACGTTTTACTAAAAGCGTTGGGAAAAGTAACCTTCTCCCCGTGTTTTTTGTAAAACGTTGGTAAAAGATCACTTATCCCCACGTTTTATTAAAAACGTTGGGGGAACTAACCTTCTCCCCGTGTTTTTGTAAAAATGTTAGTAGAAGATCACTTATCCCCACGTTTTACTAAAAATGTTGGGAAAAGTAATCTTATCCCAACGTTTTAAAAAAAGCATGGGACAAAGATCCCTTCTCCCCACATTTTAATAAAAACATTGGCAGCAAATCACTTATCCCTACGTTTTACTAAAAACGTTGGGAAAAGTAACCTTCTCCCCATGTTTAATTAAAAACGTTGGGGAAGTAATCTTATCCCAACATTTTTGTAAAAACGTTAAGATAGCATAATATATCCCAACGTTTTATTAAAAATGTTGAGAGAAGTAACATTATCCCAACATTTTTACAAAAGACGTTGGGATAACATAATGTATCCCAACGTTTTATAAAAATGTGTTGGGGGTATTATTTTAATATAAATTTGAAAGTTAGAATATTTTAAAAATTAGTTTTGAAAATAGAAATATTTACAAATAAAACCTTGAAAATGGCAGCCACAATCATCAAAGATTTAAAATATTTCTCCCAATGTTTTTGTAAAAATTGTTGGGATAACATAATCTATCCCAATGTTTTATTAAAAACGTCGAGAGAAGTAACTTTATCTCAACGTTTCTACAAAAAAGTTGGGATCACATAATGTATCCCAAGGTTTTATAAAAATGTTGAGGGTATTATTTTAAAATAAATTTGAAAAATATAATATTTTAAAAATTAGTTTTGAAAATATAAATTTAAAAAAAAAACACCTTGAAAATGTCTACCACATTCATCAAAGTTCTAAAAAATTTCTCCCAACGTTTTTGTAAAACATTGGGATAACATAATGTATCCCAATGTTTTTAAAAAAAACGTTAGGAAAAGATAATTTATCCCAACATTTTTAGAAAAAGTTGAGAGAAATTCTTGGATACCAACATTTGTTAGAAAACGTGGGGAGAGGATAATTTATCCCAACGTTTTAAAAAACATTGGGATAATCTTTTAAATTTTTTTCTTTTTTTTTGTGAGAATCTTTTAAAACGATTTAAATCTTCAACATTCTATGTTTCCCCAACGTGATATTAAAAAATGTGGGGAAAGGATAACTTATCCCGACGTTTTTTAAAAGGTTGGGAGACATAATAATCTTTTCCAACATTATTTTAAAATTGTTGAGATAAATTAAATTCTTAGATTTTGTAATTTCAGAGTTATAATTTTGGGTAAATAGAACTTAAAGTTTAATTTCGTTAGATTAAGATAAATTAAGTTTTCGAATATTGGAAGAGATTTTTAATTAAGTTTTATTCCGAGACTTTAGAAATTTAATTTTCCTTTTGGATTTTATTCTTGGTTTTTAAACTTAAGTTAATCTCCTGATTTATTTTCCCAAATCCTTTTTGGGGTGAGTTTTATTTTGAAGAAACAGATTAAGAACAAATCTCTACTCATTTATAAGGAATTAGTCTATCCTTATTTGTTTTGATTTATTTGGGCTCATTCCTTTTTTATAAAAGGAAAGAAAATTAAAGAAATTGATTGAAACAATAAAAACCCTAAACACCCACGTCTCTCTTCTTCTTCACCCTCGAGTTTTCGGGTTATTTTATGTTAAGATTTAAATTGTGCCTTTAGATTTTCCCCTAAGCTGATAATTTAAATCCTTGAATTTTATAATTTTGAAGTTCTAACTTTTGGTAATTAAAATTTAGGTTTAATTTTGTTGGATTCAGATAAATTTAATTTTTAAATTTTGGAAATAGGTTTTTAATTAAATCTTAATCCAAAGTTTTCGGAATTTAATTTCCCATTTTAGATTTTATTATTGAGTTTTAAATATAAGTTAATCTCTTTATTATTTTCCCAAATCTTTTTTAAAGTGGGTTTTACTATTGGAAAACGATAACGAAAATCCCTCCCATTTATAGGATAATAATCTTATTTATATTTATTCGCTTTAACTTCTTTTTGGTATAAAAAAAAAGGAAACCAAAAGAACCCGTCTTCATCTTCTTCTTCGTCCCTGTAACGCCCCGAGTTTTCGGGTTATTTTATGGTAAAATTTAAATTGTGCCTTTGGATTTTCCTCGAAGCTGATAATTTAAATCCTTGAATTTTATAAGTTTGAAGTTCTAATTTTTTATAATTAAAATTTAGGTTTAATTTCGTTGGATTAAGATAAATTAAGTTTTTAAATTTTGGTAAGACATTTTTAATTAAATCTTAATCCATAGTTTTGGAAATTATTCTCTCTTCTGGATTTTATTGGTTTTAATTTTAAGTTAATCAATCTTTTAGTATTTTCCCGAATCCATGTAAAGAAAGTGGGTTTTCTTATTGGAAAAGGATTAGGAAAAATCTCCAGCCACAAATCTTATTTTGTTATATTCTTTTGTTTGGTAAAAATAAAAATGGGGAGAAAAAAATAAAACAAAACTAAAGAAACCCTAAACACACCCATCTTTTCCCCTTCATCTTTTCCCCTTCATCTTTTCCCCCTTCT